TTGTTTCGTCGGTAGCGTACGAAAATGTCGATAAAGTAATGTCGATAAAGTTAGTTGTGTGATTTGTGGGACTGGCAAAGAAATATCTGCTATGGGCTGCCCCTTTACGGTCAAGCTCTTAATCCGGCCCGTACTATTAGCTATTGATTCGTCTGAAAGAGAAAGTTATACATAAGCGCCTGACTTGAGCCACCAAGAGGGGAATTATATTCAATCAAGACAACGCCAGACCACACACATCGGTAGTGACTCGCCAGAAGCTCCGAGAGCTTTGTTGGAAATTTCTTGGGTATCCACTTTATCGCCCGGATCTCGCAGTACGTGACTAATATCTGTTACTATACATGGCGAATTATCTAGGTAGTGCAGAATTGGCCACAAGAGAAGCCTATGAAAATCGATTGTCTTAAGTTTTCGCCAATAAGGGCAATAGGATTTTTATGAGATACACTCAAAACGGCAAATAGTTATAGAAAAAAACGGTGCATTTGACATAAATTGGATAATTATAACCTTTCAAGTAATAATCCTTTTTCTTGCATATAATAAAGAATTCAGAATTTCCTCAGCTGGAAACAAAAAATTGAAAGAAATTAGCAACAGAGGTATAATACCTGAATGATTCACAAATAATATATATTTATATATATATGTTTTGCGCTTTGCAACAACTGGAGCGATTCTCGGTCGTGGTTTTACGTCTTAATATTTTTCCAACAAATGGAGTGCCCTAGATGCTATAGTAAGCCACCTCTAAACGACTGATGGTTTTCAATGAGGAGCTTTTTATTTCATGTCAAAATTCCACTCAGAAACTCTGCCGATAAAATAAATTTCCATCATTTTTAGATGCCGGTCGGAGCAGGACTCGAACCTTCAGAATGGCGGTGCAAAATGCGGCCATGATAGCCGAGGAGTGCAAAATATGCCACAATATGCCGTAAGAAACTCCGAGCACATCGAAATTTGAGGTTGAGTAGTTGCACGAATATGTCACCAATATATATTTTAAATCGCGAAATGCATTTTAACAATTTAAATATTTTAAGTAAGATTTTTAGAAAGGATATAAAAGTCGAATAGCCCGTATCGAGAACTCTGGAGGCCCTCAAGGAAGTCAGATTTGAGACACTTTCACTATCCATATTTGTCGTATACACCATAGAAAAGGTATTTTAAATAAAATTATTTGTAAAATAAACCCGAATTCAATCTGAAAAAATTATTAATCCGAATTTTCTAGTGCAAATTTCAGTATTTTTTTAAAAACCATAAACTGTTTTTGAGCGCAAATAAAGTGGTGATGAAATTTGAAAAACATCTTCAACTCAAGAGATATCCATGCGATTCAACATAATGAAAAATTAACAAGAAAACAGAACTAAAAACATTTGTAAGCTGCATATGAATATACGAATGCGTATTTAATTTCTGCATTAATACAGTTATTTTATATGTAAAGAGACTATTTGATAACTGAAGTACTAATAATGTTACTTAAGAAATTTCATTTAATTTCAATTTCCTTGACAGGTCTATAGCCCTAAAATAAGTGCGTATGTTTTAAGTGTGCTTAATAGACAAAGGTGTAAACGATATGAAAGCAAATAGTTGTAACTGATAAAAATAATGCAGAAATAACCCTCTAGCAAATTTGGCAAGACATTACCTTTTGGAAATTAAGCAGTAATGCTAACCAACTCTCAAAAAACAGTGTAAGCATAGACTCTCTCTAGAAAAAAAATTAAACAAATAAATAAAAAAAACCCTTCGTGCGTAGCAAAAAGTGCAAAAAATTAGAGTCTGCGCAGGCGCATGGCGATTGTTTAAATTTTAGTCATGATACTTTTTGCTGCTGGGTATCGTATGCATTGAAATAATCGTAAATATGCCTGGAAATATGCCTCTTTATGCCTTTACGCCTCAACACGTGCGAATAGGCACATGAAGCTATGCACACGGACACTCAGCTCCACAAGTGGTGTGCTTATTTGGGTTGTTCGGCTGTTTATAGAAAATTCTCCCCTTTGCCTCAGACACTTGCCACTTTGCAGTTGCTATCCTCTCCATTTCCTCGTACTTATTCACACAATTCTTACTGTCGCCGTTGAATTACTTTTTATTCAATTCATTTTTTTATACTCATCCTAACCAGCATTCTGCCCTCCACCATAGCAAGCACTTTGTCACTAGACTTTTTCCCCGTCTTTTTTTACTTTTTTTGGCGTCGAAGCGCCTTAGTGTCTTTGTGCTGCTATGTATGTATGTGCATATAAGCATGAAAACTGCAGCGCCTAAAAGTAAGCCTTCCCATTTTAGTATGAGTGTCATTATTTGTATGTGTTTATTGTTACATAGTATATACATACATATGTGTGCTTACTATAGTCTACAGTCGAGACGATTTACTGAATAAATATGTATGTAGCTAAGCTGTTGCTAAAGCAGATAAAATTTAGTAGTGTGGAATTTACTGAAGTATGGCTTAAGATATCCTCAAGTTTGTGTTTAATGAGGTGAAAGTGAATGACACTCTCGTGTGGCCCCTTTTATTCTTATCCTCTTGCACTTTTCCACATTAGCTTACCTCGTTTTTCATTTGTAAAGGCTTCTTTTATTTTATCAAATACTCGTATATATGTATAATGCTGTATATTTTCATGTAGTCTTAGCTCGGTATTCACCGCTGTCATACGCTGTTGAAGGCACTGATGGGTATGAATTTGCTAAATTTTAGTTTGGCGATTAGTTTTTGCCTAAAACTTCTTCAATCGTTTGTGAGACATATTTTGATATGTATGTATGTTATAATAACCGGCAGAACCAAGAGGCGATATTTATTATCATATATCATGTAATTATTTTTTTTTAAATAAACGAAAAAGATATTCAGTCAATCTTACGTTAGTCGGTCTCTCCAAAGATGTACATAGCAAAAGAGGTGCCCATTTAAATAAATTTTAATATATAAAAAATGGCAATCTTTAACATTAAGGAACAGTAGACATTTTGTATGAAAACAAATTCATTTTTATGCTTTTTTAAACCCAAACAAAGGAGACTAGTAAAAACTTTCATTTAATTGCTTTTAAAATGTAAAATATGTAGGTTGTATCCTTGCATCTTTTTAAACTATTGTCTTTGATTTTTATGATATTTGAAAAATGTAATATATTCTGTCAAATGTAAAATGTAAATGTATATTATTAAACGAGCATTTCATCTTAGTTGAAATATATGGAATGTATACAAAAAGAATGCATTATGCATGTGTGAAGATTTAAGTGGGTTCATTAAAATAAAAAAAATGTTAATTTAAATTGAACTGCTTATTCTGATACATTTCAATAAAAAATATTTCAAAATTAAAAATTCGTTTCAAAATTGGAAATTAAATTATGTTTTCATACATACATATTTTTGTATGTAAATATGCATATATTGCTGCTGCATATAGATATATAGATATGAAAAGATGTACATCAGGACCATTGTCCTATTGCTCTCTTATTCACATCCCATTACATCGCCCAGCCCAAAGTGTCTCAGGAGTTCTAGCAGATATAAGGAAAAAGTATACATACTCACTAGGATATTCACGTATAAAAAATTAATAGATGTTCATTTATACTGTTCATGCATCTTTCATCGATGTTGTATGCATACAATTCCTATTGGGTATGTGCATTCATTCAGCCCAGAAAGTTTCCGGAAATGGTCAATAATTGCTATGCCAAAAACTAGTGCGATGTGTCAACCAGTTTATTTGTAACAGCTGTTGAAATCAGTCGACCTCGGTTCTCTTAGCGAATTTCCTTTTATGGCTTCAATCAAGTCGAAACTGATTCCAGGGAGTGGTAACTTGAGTTTTGGAAACAAAAAAAAGTCGCATGGAGCCAAATCCTGTGAATGCGGTGGTTGATCGATGGTATGGAACAGGTTTTTGCTCTTAAAATCGTTCACAACTACAGCTTGATGTGAAAAATCCAGTAAGCTAGAACGAATTCATGATGAACCAAACCGGGTATATCGAGAAGAACGAGTCTCGCTGAGTTAGCCTCAGTGAACATTGGAAATCTCGTGGCGCTTTTAAGGCACACGATATGATTCGATCATTTGAGAAGGTTAAGGCAGCAGCCTTAGTGGTATCACAATGGGCCTGTTGGCATAAGTGTGCTGGGGTTTGACCAGCAGCCGCATCAATTCAACTCAGCTCAAACATAATGTGTGTTTTTAACATTTTGACAAATAATTATAAATTAAAAAAAAATCGCTCTATTATATATAAATAAAGATGTTCGTTATTAAGGTCATTTATCGCTCTAGGATTCCATCCTAGCAGCAATAATTCTGAACTACTTAGTTCTTAAGATCAAGTGTTTCAAAGACTACAGCTACTGTCCCCCATATTTTCCTTTAAAAGCTTCTAATTGTTACTACAAAAAGAAAACTGATTTAATTAACATGGCTAATTCCAAATAATCTATAACTTTCATAATCACTATTTTTTGACTTTAACAATCCTAAAAGTGAACATACCAAAGACGCTCAACTAACGAAACAATGCTGTTTCCTTCTTGTAATATTAAAAATTGGCTTACCGAAGTTATTTTACTTCGTTTCGGTGCCATGTTAAAAAAGAAGTTGTACATAGAAACCGCAAAAGCTCAGCGTTTATGTTAATTTCAAAATGACTGACTGCTATGATGCTAACAGCATATTTAAATGTTAACATTTAACATTAACTGTTAACGATTTAACATTGACGACAGATTTTCATTTCGAGCAGAAATTATTAAAATTGATTTTTTTTTTAACTGTCAATTTAACAATCAATTGATTTTTTTTTATCTGACGTGCAATTCGTCGTTGATGTTACCATATTTAATTAATAATAAAAATATTGTTGCAAAATTATTTAAATAATTGCATAAATTTTAAATATATCGGAACTCAGTTTTTTACATTAAATATATATCTATCATTGTAAATGTGCATACCTGTCTCCAAAAATTCTCAATCTACTCGCAATGTTATTGTTGCGCCTTCAAATATATGAATCAGCTTTAATTTTTTTTATATTTCAAATTTACTATAAACCTGCTTTACACAACACCGTTTGTTCATGTATGTAATTTATGTAACGAACATTATTCATATGTTTGTAATTCACAATTATTATATTTATGTATGTAGTTATTTGAAGGAGTATTTTTTCAATAAAATGCGGGATTCTTTATTTGTTATTATATTTAATGTTTTTAATTTAATGCTCGCTTAAGTGCATGACACAATATGAAATTGTTGGGTCAAGTAGATTGTTTTATTTATTTATTTGCTTATGACTTTTGGAAAACACCGTAAAATGCTGTTTAATGACAATTATTATTATTTAATATGTACTTATTGGGTATTTCGTTTATGCTTAAATATATATGTGCGTGTACGTTGCTGCTGATTTAGTTGCGGTTTGTTTAAATATGTATGTATTTTTTTCACTTTCTATGCTAAATATTTGAGGAATTTGTATCATGACAATCGGTTTTGTTTATATTTACTTAAGTTTAATTGCATATATTATGCAGTTTTTTAAATGCGAGGATTTTCCATAGAAAGACATTGAGAAGTTGAGTTTTTCATAAGCATTTTTTTTTTTTTTTTTTGGTTAATACTTTATGTGCTACAAATATGCAACTATTTATTTCGCTATTGCAATTTTTTTTTACATAATTTTTTGCAACATTTTTTGTTGATTTTTAATGGCGTTGATTTATGCAGGATTTTGAAATATTTATTTGATGATTTTTTTTTTAAGTACGATTCAATAATTTTTGTTTGTTGCAAAAAGAAACAATTTAACAATTGGGCTTAAACAAATATTTGACTATTTGTTTTGCTGCGAAATTTGATATTAACAATTTAATAATTACTTTTTTTGTTTACGCGTATTTATGTATTATTTTTATTTTGCAATGTGTGTGTGTGTGCATGATTTGCCAATAACAACTATCATGAATTCTTTATGTTTATTGATTTAATAATTAATGATCGTATGTAATCATCATGTAATATGTGTATGTAAACACACTTTAGATGTTAGCTGTAAATGACACTTATTATAATTACTTGATTTGTTTTCAATTAATTGATAACTACATTTTTTACTCACTACATTTGTCTCATCAATTATTATTTATTCGCCGAAAATTATTACTAATTATTTATTTTCGTAAACTTTTTTCTGTTTGAAAAAAAAAAATAGAATTTTGTAATGTGTTTTTATATGATCTGCGACCGGACAGTAGTTTTGAAATGTCGCAAATACACTTGTCCTTTAGTCGTTTTTCTGCACATTTTTTTAATTCACTTTAAAGTAACATAAATTTAAATTCTAACCTGCAAATGTATCTGCTGCTTATAAATTAAATATTTTTGTCGTTTTCGTTATGTTTAAGTTCGGAAGATTTTTTTTGGATTTTAGTGATGTTCGTTCGTCGTTTGTGCTTCACTTTGGTTTCCAATTATCAATGTTTTTTATTTTAATTTTTTTATTCTTTTCATTTAATATCCAATTTTGAACACTTTTCATAGTCCATAAATTTCACTCTCTCTAATATTTTTTAATATATAAATTACATGACTTAAGCTTAGTTCAAGTCAATAAATGCTTACATTCTCTGCTTTATTTTGCTGTAATTTACGCACACTGCACTCCATAGTATTATTACCAATTTTTATATTTCTTTGCTTCAAGTCAATTTTTCGTTAGTTGCCTTGACTTTCAAAATATACATGTATATATGTATATGTATTCTTTTTCATTTATTCACTTTCATACCCATTGATGCATTCTGCTGTTTACATTTTTTTTTTTTTGTGCATTCATTTATTTTTCATTTTTTCCTCAACTCACAGCTGCCCGTCTTTTTTTCTCTCATGTTGTTGTGTTCTCCTCTTTTCTGAAGTGCGTACTGCAAAGACAAAGCACGAATAAATATATAATTTAGTATTTTCATTTAAGCGTGCTTATATTTATTTCCACAAAAAATATACATAATACATTTTTCTTTTATTGTATGAGTGAGTGTGTGTGTGTGTGTTTTAATAGTGCCACTTCTCATTAATTTTGATGCCTTCATTTGACCTTCAAAGCTTCTGTTGCGCATACCTACAAACATTTGTTAGTTCGGTACACAAAAGCTAGGCTAGACAAAAAACGTTGCGAGCAGCATGTTCTCAGCACAAGGATCCACTGGTTGCTGAATAATGTTTCATTCATGTTGTGTCTCTCAGCCAACCAGCCATTCATACTTTTCTGTGTGTTTGGTCATTGTGCTGGCAATTAACTTTGAAAATGAGCATCATTTTCGTGGCATGGCATGGTGTGGCGGACACGGTGGGTAGTCCTAAGTGCAATGCACTTAAGAGTATAAAGTAGTGTGTTTGGTTCTGGCTGTTCATTTTTGGTTTATTAGCCTGACATATTTTGGAAGTAAATCGTATAGATAAAATTATTATTTAATTTAATTTTTAATCTGCTGAACAAACAATATTAAAACAAATAATTAAATTTATAACAAATCATGATTTTTTGGTTGGTGCCAAATTTAATATGGAGCCCACAGATAAACAATTTTGTTTTGTTTGGAAAAAATGCAGCGCAGGTTTCTAAAAAGTTGAATTGCATGTATGGGGATAAGGCCTTAAAAGAATCAAAGATAAGCCACGTTCAGGTCGGCCAAGTGAAGTTAATGATGACTTCATGAAACTGAGCGTGAGATTGGATAGAAGTTAAGTATACCAAAAACAACTGAGCATAATAATAAACGACGTCTTGGATTGGTAAAAAAAAACTTGAAATTTGAGCACCTGACGAATTGATAGAAATTCACTTGATAAGCCTCTTCACCGCTTGTAATGTGCATCTTAAATGCAATGAATATGATTCATAAACGAAAATGATGAAATGGGTTGTTTGCAAAAACGTCAATCGAAAACGATTATGCACCACAAACCACTTGAAAAGTTTATTTTTACCAAAAGAAGAAAATGTTTTCAGTTTGCTGGACTTGCGAGGGGGTGTGGTATTTTTCGAGCTGCTTCCAAGGAACCAAACGAGTATTTCGGATGATGATGTGAGCAACTGGACAAATTAAAGACATCCATCAACGGGAAGGGGCGAGAGTTGGTCAATCGTAAAGATGCCATATCCCACCGGGAAAATGCCAGTTGCACACATCATTGATTATTCGCCAAAAACTGAGAGACCTTGGCTGGGAACTGTTGATGCATCCATCATATAGCCCTGACCTGGCACCATCCGACCAACGTTTGTTTCGATCTTTCCAGAACTCATTAAATGTTAAAATTTTTGAAAATGACAAGGCTATAAAATCGCAAATGCTTCAGTATTTTGCAGATAAAGACCAGAAGTTCTATGAGCGCATAATAATCATGTTGGCGGAAGGTCATCCATCAAAATGTTAATTACATAATTGTAATAAAATATATTATAATAAAAAATATATATTTATATTCTTTTGAAAAATCGCCAGTTTTTTGTGGGCAACCCAATAGTTTTTTCCTGTAAACTAAGCATTTTAAAAATTTTGCATTAATATTAAAAATTGGGAGAGAACAATATATCACTTCCGCAAGCCGAGTTTCATATTGGTAATACATCACAACAGTAAAAATATGAACTAGTATAGAGACTTTTAAAAAATAAAACGAATATACTGTAACTATTAAAGCCACTAAATTAGGGCGAATGACCATGTATCCTCAAAAAGGAAGCGTTCTACCTGTCGAAATCGGTCGAATAGTTAATGAAGGAGAGTATCGAATAATAAATAATGAAGAAAATTCAAATTCGCAATATTATGTAGTAAGTTTGAGTTTTTTGTCTTTTTTTGGCCACTTTTTTGTCATTTAAAATTAATAAGTACTTTTCAGATCTAGGGGTATAATATACTCATAGATAGTTCTTCACTGTGAGGTGATGTTATTATCTGCAAAATTTAATAAAAAGTTTCAATGCAATAAAGAAGAGTTTAGCAGCGCGTATCTCCATATGAGTGGTCATGTGTTCATGGGTTAAAATTTAAGATCACAAAGAATTGATTTATATATTTATATATTTGGGGTATCCAATAAGAGTGATATGATTTATAAGTGCAAGCAATAGCAACAATAATAATAAGAACTTGCCTTTTTTAAGAAAATCAATCTCTCTGATGAGGCTTACTTTCATCTGAGTGGTGCGATAAATATAAAAGACTGTCGATTTGGGTGCGAGAAAATCCACAAATTATTCATGAACAACCATTACGCTTTCCTAAACTGACCATTTGGTGTGGTCTTTGGTCTAGTGGAAGCATCCGTCCGTACTTTTTTTCAACAATTGAATTATTGCGAGAAAAGTTTAGAGATTCGATTATTTCAAGAAATTGTGTCATTAAATGGCCTCCAAGCAGTTGTGACTTAACACTATTAGACTACTTCTTGTGGGGTAATTTGAAGCCATTAGTCTTTAGCAATAAACCAAACTCTTCTCAAGTGCTCAAAAATTGGGTTCATGGATTTCGTTCCAGCATTTGAATGATCAGAACTTAATTGTATCGATTGTTCATTACACTCAATACAAAACATTTGATTTTCCTTAATAATTAGTGTGTGTTTTTTTCCTTCAAGAAATCATATAATTCTTATTAAATACCCCATATAAAAGAAATAAACTTATTTTCTAATTTCGGTTGCCCTTCAGCCGGAAATGTTTACCCCTTCGAAAAAAAATTCTGACATGAAGTTTCCTCTTAAAAATCCATCAGACATTCGCAGCCGCTTGGAATAAGCCGCATATTTCCAATGGGATGAGAAGCTTTTCCAATAATCGCTTCAGCGTCAATTATAAACAAATATACCCAGAAGTGGCTAAATTCGCAACCTTTCAGATATTGGTTGCAAATAATCTAAGTCAAAAATTTTTTTCAGAGAGCCAAATGAACTTTTTTCTGCTGAATTTTTTTTTTTCATATTTATATCTGGTTGTGGGAATGTAGATTTTAGGCGGATACTACTGATCTTAACGCGAAAGACAACGGAGGCTATGCACCCATTCAAGACAACAAGGATAAGAAAACGTCAAAAAGAGCAGATTGTAAATCTGGTTTTAGGAGAAGCTAAAACCAAGCCGCAACAATTCACTGACTATTTGAGGATTGCAGCAGAAAATTTATTATAATTATTATGTTATTGTAAGTTCTTTGCAAAAGTGCAGAATGTAAAAAAACATCAGAGCTAGTTAGCAAAAATGCCAGAGCCTAAAGTTATGCAAGGAATTATGCTACTCGCGTAAACATTAGGTGAGTACGTTCAGTCTGGGGGAATCATTTTCTAAAATCCGCATTACCTCAACACTCAATTCTAGCGCCACCTACTCATATTACTCTCCCTTTAATGTATAAATTCGATAATAGATGCTTTAAATATTTTCAATACAATAATATCAATACTGCACCATCTAATTTTAATATTGTTAGATTTAACCAATGTAAGAAGTTTAAAAACAAATTTTGATAGGATGGCATTCAAGTTCTAGTAATCGGTCAAGATATTATGAGTATGAAATTGGAAGTACGAAAGGCTTTTCCTAACTGCAAATATCTTTTTTGGCAAATACTTATATAATATATGGGCTCATTGATTTTCCCATATTTAGAACTATGAAAAATCTCATTTCTCTAAAATTAGCAATAATTCTTTCTAATTTGGCTGCAATTAAGTTAAAGAACACTTTTATCTAGAACTAGCTTTAATGTACTCAACTATTTCCAGTTTATTTATATAATTTAAGTAAACATATTTGCCTTGCTGAAAACGTCAGTGCCTCAAATATTCAAATTTTAGGAACTTTAAATTTAATATATTTAATATGGTATATATGCAATATATGTATGTATATTAATACATACATACATATGTATATATATGTACATCTGCAAGCTTTTTTTAAAGCAACATCTCTTTCAATACAGCTGTGTGGATACTTTTCATCCCTATTGTCTACTTTTTTCCAGCCATTTATGTTTTGTTGTACCTAATAAATATGTAATTTACATTTTTATGTACACACATATGTATATATGTACATATTATAAGCTCTGAACTTGAAAATACCACGTAGACGAATGCAACACTTATCGAATTAATTTGGATTTCGATTTTTTTACAACTTATTTCAGAAATATATTTTCTTAAGATTAAATTTTGCTTGGAAAGTGAGTAATATGTTCCGCATATATGTATGTGTGTGTACATACACAGATACGATAAATATTTGGCAGCAAAAGTATTTATTCGCTGGCGGACAGCGTACAGAAATATCATGAATTGAAAGGAGACTGACTATCTACATATGTATATGGCGAGAAAACATCGTAAGGAAGGAGAGGCATCAGTGCTGTAGAAAAACATCACGTGTCTACTACAGAGCATCGAGGGGAACTGCACAGTCTCTGCAGCAGCAGGCACCTGTTATTCATTTCGGCAGAAAACTTTCTTTTTCCTTTTTTCACTTTCACACAAACCGCTTACTCGCACTCGTCCTTCACTTGTACTCTTGAAACCGAACAGCCGGAACATTTTTTTTATTTGAATGAGCTACAATTCCGATTTCTTTTAATTACGAAATTGTGGGAAACATTTTATTTTTCTTTACAATAAGTTTGAGTTATTTACAAATCTTTTACCAATTGATTTTGAGAAATCTTTGTCTTTGCCACGCACAACGATTAAATGCAACAGTGTGAACGGTTGGCCGAGACACATGCTAATCAGGACGAAAATTTTGCTGCGTATACGTTAACGAGCTCATAACACTGGAAACCGAAAACGACACATTTCGGATTTTAGTCGTGACGAGCAGCAGCTGCACAACACAGTGTTTAAGTTGAATGGGCTGAGTGGCGAAGACGAAGAGCTTCGAATGATAACGATGCGAGTCAGAAGCACAGCAATGCCCTCACATGAATTTTCTTTCTAGTTGATACCATGTTTTTTTGCCTTTAATTTAGTATTTCTATCTTTTCTTCTCGCCCAACTGCTACCAAGCTCAAACTCAGCCAGCTAGCAAGCCAGAGACTAACCGTCACAATGAACAAGCAACCAGCAGTGTTGAGAAATTTCACTTTTCGTTTCATTTTGCTGTTTCTATCTTTGCTGATTTTTTTTTTTCGTTTTTGGCTTTCAGTTCAGTCAAAAGCGAAAGCGAAATTCAGCATCTATACAAAGGAAAAAGACTGCACAAAATCCACACGCACAAAACGGCTGACACTGGCATATATACAAGCCAAAAGCAGGGAATAAAGTGTAAGTGAGTTCACAGTCACTGGCAGTGAGCCTGAAAGGATAACACGAATATAAATGGAAATGAGCACAACAGCAGGAGCACAGCAGCTAGAGCGACAGCAGCAGGAATATAAATGGCGCTCCACATGCTATTGTGCGTTAGAATTGCTCTCGATTTGGGAAAAGTAAAAAAGCATCGACGTGAAGCTACAAAATTGAGTAGCAGAACATACTGCAAGCTAGCTTTGTTTGATGCCGCCAGCCGCCAGCTGCCAGCTGCCAGGCTGTCATTCCAGTCGGAGCTGATAAGCAGGAGTATGCTTTAAGCCTGGATGACTGGTTGACTGCTTCGTTTCTGTATGCTCACAGACATAGTTATCAGCATATGACAGTGAAGCACCCTTCATCTCACGCACACGTCATTTCTAATGTCATGTGTACAATTAAAAAATTTATTTTTATTGAAATATTAAAATTTTAAAATATGTAAGAGTATCTGTACCTAAATGTTGGGCATCGAATGTATATTTCTTGACCGAAAATAGAATTTTAGTTTTCAAATTTGTTTTATTTCGAAAGCTCTTTCCAAAGTAAGCCACATTTGATTTGTACTGATTACACAGATAAAAATTCAAGCAATTAAATTATATTCTATTGTAACAATAAATAAAGGGAAATTTCTTGAAAAAAACGGAAGGGACAAAAAAAATTCAATTTCTAATTTAAATCACTATTTCCCATTTTTTGTCTAGTATTCAAACATTTTTGTGTATTGTTTCATCTAGATGTTTTTCAAAGTGTATCTATTAAATTATTATTTTTTTGTACTTTCTGAAATTTATCTACATTTTCTCTTTTCAAAAAATTTGGTATTTTCCAAACTGTTTCTCTGAAATAAAAATTAAAGCAATAACTTTTTGCAGCTTCTTCCAAATTTTTCATTTCATCCGTCCCTAATTACAAAAAGAGATTTAAGCTACGTTTTGAACATTTACAATTTCATTTCGAAAGTAATTTCTTAAAAATATTGCTAATATATGAATAATATTTTAGCACTTCAAGTTTTGCTCAGTTTCCGAAGTTGATTTTATATTTTGTAGTTTTATATACGATTCTCATTCGGCTATGAAATATTTTCTTAATATTCAAATAATATAATTTTTTTCCAACTTCCTCTGCTCAAAACAGGCATATAGTATAATTTTATGTTTAAAAAATTCATTTTTATTTTATTAATTTTTGTTTATTGAAAACTTTTGCTCTACTCATTTTTAATTTAATTCATTTTTTATCAATATTTTTTTTTAATAATACTTTGCACTTTTTACCTAAATAAATAGTTGCGCCAAATTTTGAAACGTGTCACAGAAATTTTCACCAATTTTTGAGTCTATCAGTGATAAAGCTACATACATACATACGAGTCCTAGAGCTTTTATTATATTCTTTATACTTTCACCACTTTAATTCAAGTTTGCTGCAATCAATGTTTTTCAAAAATGTTTTAAATTCAAACAACTTCTCACATTTTCAATTTTAAAATTCACTTAAACACTTTGTCAATTAATTTTTACAAATTCTTCTTTTTTCCTTTCACTTTTCATTGTCCATATATTTATTTAATTTAATATTCTTTTTTTTTTTTGTTTCTTTGATTTAATTTCACTTCTTCTCTTTCTGATTCTACCTCGATTTACAACGTTTGTATGCAGATATATATGAGTCTATATGTGCATGCGTATGTATGTTGATTTGAATATATGTTAATGTGTATGTATGTAGATGGATGAGAAAACGACACGTTTGTTATTTAGGAGGAAAAGGCAACGAACAGCACAACCCGAAACCGGAACACCAACTGAAAGGCGCTGCCGTGCTACCGTTTGGAGCCAGGCACCCGACGACCAATATGGATGGAGCTCAAAGGATCCAATGGAATAAGAACTCCAACATCCACTTCCATAACCTGCATAGGACAAGTGGAGTGCAAGTGTGTCTGGCTGATAATCCTTTGCAGATGCTGGAAGTTAGATGAGCCGAATTGAATAGAGGCAACTGTTCGTTGATTACGACTGTTTTGTAAATGTGGGAGTGTGTGTTGTTGACATGAAGCTGTAAACAGAAGAGTATGCTGGAAATTAGCAAGAGAAAAAATTAAAATTAAAGAGAGGCAAAGTAAGAGAGGGAAGAAAACTCTAGAAGCCTGTCGAGAGTGAGATAGATAGGCATTACACGTAGACAAACTTGAAAACTTGCCATGAAATTGAATGAATCAAAGCAAAATGAAACAAATGTAAAAGGTACAAGAAATGAAACGATCACACATAAGGTTAAATAAAAAGATAACCAATATAAAAAATTAAATAACTTAATTTGATTAAGTTAAAAAAAAATTATTAATAAATTAACTAATAGAAAATAAAATAAAGAAATAACTAAAAGAAAATATAAAATCAAATAAAATGAGATAAAAAAATTAATAGAAATTAAATTAAATAAACTAAGGCATACCTAATTCAAATAAATAAATAAAATTAAATTAATTGAAAAAAAGAAAATAAAGTGAAATTAAATAAATAAAATAAAATTCAACAAATGAAATTAAAATGAATAAAAAACAAAAATTAAAAAAAATTAAATAAAATAACATAAAATATAAAAATTAAATTAATTGAAAAAAATTATATAAAAAGAAAATTAAAATAAGCCAAAATAAAAAAAACAATGAAACTAAAATAAAATAAATAAAAAATGGAAATATAAGAAAAAAACAAAAACAGAAATATAATAAAATTTAAAAATATAAAATGAAATAATATAAAACAAACTATTTTAATATAAAACAATATTAATAAAGTAAATTAAACCAAATTAACTGAAATAAAAAACAACAACAAAAAATAATTTAGATAAAACTAAATGAAAGAAAGAAATAACTGAGATTAAATTAACTGAAGCGAAATGAAAGTAAGTAAAATATAAAATAACTCAAACTAAAATAAAATAAAATAAATTAAATTTAAAAAATAAAATTAAGTTATATAAAAGAGAAGAAAAACAAATGAAATCAATTCATGAAATAGAATAACAAAAATTGAGTAAAATGAATTAAACAAAATATAAATAAAATTTAATAAAAATATAACTAAATAAAATATAAAATAATATGAAAAAGACAGTAAAATTCAAATAAAATTTCAATTGAATTAAAATAAATTAAAATAAAATAAACTCANCATGTCAGAAATCCACTAGGAGGGGATGACATTATCTGCCGAGAGCGAATAGCAATTAGAAAATTAACTAAGTTAGTAAAATATAGCAACTATATGTAAAATATGTTTAAACAAACTAAAACAAAATGAAACAAGATAATATGAACAAAATCAAATTAGGACAAATTAATTAAAATTTGATAAAATAAAGTAAAGTAAAATTAAATTAAATTAAATTATAGTTAATATTGGAATGGAATGAAATTTAAGTATGTTAGTAAAATTATTTATTATATCATAAAACAAAAAACCAAAAAAAAGTAAAATAAACTTCCCTAAAACAAAATAAAACAGAGTATAATAAAATAATATAAAACAAAACAAAATTACACTAAAAAAAGTAAATGAAAAATAACTAAAATTCCCTCTAGCAAATCACTATATACTATTTACGAAACATAATAAATGTATTGACTTAATTTGTTTTAAATTTAATTAAATGCTTTAAATACATTATAGTTAGTTTGGTCGCCACTAAGTTACTTTCTTCAAGTTAATCAATTTAAAATTTTGTTTATTATTAAATTAACAGCTGAATATAAATTATTAAAAAACAGATCAATAAAAAAATTAACTATTAAATCACATAATATAATATAAATTTGTATTTAATTGATTAAATTGTTTTAGTACATATTTATTAACATCTGATTCGCAGTTTAATTTAAAATCATCTGCCCTGCTACCTCAATGAAACATTTTAGAATAGTTTTATTTATTCTCAATTTTTAACCCCCATTTGCACATCAACAGCCCAGCACAAATCCGTACAATTTTTCGCTCTCATTCATTAAATGTTTCTACAATAACAATATGTAACCCACACGTGCTTGCGTAGTCAACCCCAAAGTCAATGCAACAACTGAATAGCCAAAAGCATAACCAACAGCTGCTCGAATGTGGCAAGTAACAGCGGTGTAGTCGTACATACATACGTATTTTGTCGCTCAAAGTACTGAAAATTAATTTAAAGTAAATTCGTATGAATGAAAAATCGCCCGTTTGCCACCAGCAGCCGCAGAAGTTATCACTTAAATACATACATACATATATATACTATGTATGTATGTGGTGGTTTGCGATTTGTGGGCCGTGGGCGCTGCGACAGAGAAACAAGGCACAGAGGGACTCAGCATCATACATATTACATATTAGCATTAATAAAACAACAACTACACCCACCTTTAATATTTTAGTGTACGAGCCGTAAATTACAAACATACCGATGCACAGCGCTGATAAATACAAAAACTATGTACTCAAATAAACACTCGCACACATATGTATATAAACATTCGTATCCCAATAAACATTATTGTTGAGTATCAATTAGATATGCACTAGGGAATCATTTTATTTTTTAAAACTCAAGAGCTACTTCTCGCTTTCTCAATCCCCGTTTCATTTGAGAAAATGTTGTTGTAATAATTGTATGAGAATATTTTATCGTGTGTTTATTGTGGTATAGTATTTATGCATATAAATAAGAAATATATTGATATGTAGTGCATAAGTATGCGTGTATGTATGTAGTATATGTTGCATGACACGTCACGGTTGAACGCACAGCACATAACATACAGACCTACATTCATTCGGAATAGCGTGGGAGTGGATGAATGCCAATACACCAATATCAAAGCACACTCGTATTCCCACACAGATATATAAATAGTGCAAATTATATGCCACAGGATACATAGGACAACACTTGTGCGTGCTTTCAACCCGCCGCCAGAGAGAAAACGTCGTGTACAAAAACAGTAACATCCACGAAAATAAAATTACGTTCAGTACAATAACAACACCTTCGTTGAAAATAAAATTACTCACATATACAAATAAGCACAAATAAGTTAACCGCCTTGCAAGTACATATGTACGTGTATATATTGTACATGGAAAACAACAGTTAGAAGTAATTCTTTAAATTTTGCTAAAAGCTTTTACCTACAATTACTCTCTGAATTGAAAATAAAGCTTTTACTCTTCTTTCTCATCTTTTAATCTCTCTTGCAGCTACATTCCAAAGAGCTTATTTACTTTTCCCTCACAATATTTCACTCGAATAAACAGATTTCGACGAAATAATCTCTTTTGTGCTTCCAAAAGCTCTGTACTTGCCTGTCTTGCACTGCGGTATCCCAGTTTTCCCTGGAAATTATATATTCTTCCCAAATGTAATAGAGGCACGGAAAGTTCAAATAGAGTTCTTACTTCATGCAAAACAAAAAAAGTGAAAACGAGTTCCATAAAAGCTGCTTATTTAGTGCATTTTAGCTTCGTCGCCATCTCGTCGTTTCCTCGCTCGTGTACTATTCGCTGCTTTGTCCTGAAGCACAGCTACATATATACCTACACTAGATAACTTTGTATATATTTAGCACACAGCAGGCCGCAAAAAATGAAGTGAGCATATCAAGCTCAGCTACTTTAGCGTTTGGGTTGACCCTGCTGCAAAAAAAATGAATGAAACACGTGGAAAAGGAGTGGAATGACATCAAATGGAAAAAGATTTGTTTTTAGGAATGACGAGAATTGGATTGGATTGGATTCGTACTTTACAAGCAGATATTATTAAAATAGTAGAAAAGTAGTCCATTTTCTTCGCTTTCAATTGAAGGATTATTTACCATGGTCATAATTACCCGATTTTTGTCAAATATGCCCCGTTTTGTTCAATAAATTTTGAAAGTAATTATGCTTGTTCCCTTATAACGTTTGCCCCGTTCGACTGGTGCTGCTTATTGCCCTTCGACCACGACCGTTTTCGTTTGATGTTGCTATATATTATATATAACCGCTTTGTAACCGCTCAAGCGATTTTCGGACGATTTGTGTATTTGCGTCTTAATGTTTTCCCAACAAATGGAGGACGTTTTACTTATTTTTTATCAAAATTAATTATTATAACGTTGGTCGTACCAAGATTTTAACTCGAGCCTTCCGAATAGCACTTGGCTATCGCGGCTGCCAAAGTTGCTATAAGTGATGCATTTTTCAACACCAAGTCATCATCCACTCCTGAAATTCGTTGCTTTTGTCATTAGTTCAGGACGGAATCGAACCAGAGGGTGATGGGGGTTAGATATGCAGGTATAGGAGAGCTTCTGAAGAGGTGGTCAGTGTCGTACGAGGACTATCCACATGTAGGGCATACGTTGAGAAAGTTGGGGTCGAGTATGGGTATATGGGAGTTTAACCTACTACAATATGCAGACCAAAGTTGTGAAAGTGTCACGCGGGTCTCTCGAGGCAGCTT